TTTAAGGAAGATTTGTTTTGGAAATGTCAATCGGACGTTGACTTATGTGTAAATAATCTCGGATCGGAATTTTTATAATTTGTCTAGCTCCATTAGGTAATTTATGACTTAGGAACGCGATCGGAATTGGTTTTGGAGGTCCGGTGTGGAATTTGGCTTGAATTGGCGAAAATAGTATTTTAGCGATTTCCGGTTGATAGGTGAGATTTTGATCCAAGGGTCATAATAGAATTCTGAGAGTTTTTGTAGCTTCATTATGTGATTTGGGATGTGTGTGCAAAATTTCATGTCATTCGGAGGTGATTTGGTCGGGTTTTTGATCAAATGCGTGTTTCAGAAGTTTTTGGAAAACTTAGGCTTGAATTCGATGTGAATTGATGGTTTTGATGTTGTTTGAGGTATTTTGTTGATTGTAAAAGGTTTGAATGATGTTATGGGGTGTGTTGGCATGTTTGGTCGGGGTCACATGAGGCTCAAATAAGTTTTGGAAGAGTTTTTGGAAGATTTTTGTCGTTTTGAGCATAAGCACGTAATGATCCAAAGGTCCATTTTTAGTTCTAGAGATCGAAATTTTATTTCGAGATTTCCATAATTTAAATAATGAATTATAGGAGTGATCTAGAAAGTTTGGTCTAATTTCATCAAGTCGCGATTGGGTTTTTGACGCGAAACATGAGTTAATCGTTTAACGAGCGAAATGGATATCGCACTGAGCAAACGAGCTTCTAATTGAGTTTCGATTGAAGGACTATGTTCGTATCATTATTTGTGACTCATAGGAACACGAATCATCGAATTCCGAGTTCATACGGTGGAGTTAGAGCCTTTTTAGTGAAAATAAATATTGCTGGTGCAGAAGGTTCTGGTGTGCACCTTTAGCGACCAGATTTGGGACTTTTAGCGACGGGAATGGGTCTTTTAGCGACCAGATTCGGGTTATTAATGTTGTTCTGGTTTTCTTTGCTCATTTTCACGTTTTTTTGGTGAAAGAACACGGATTGGGGCGATGTTTGAGCAAGAAATCATGGGAAATCTTGAGGTAAGTCACTTGTGATCATTTCTACTCCATAATATTGAATTATCATCGAATAATCCGACTAGATTACATGTTTTTGAGGAGTAAATTGGGATTTAGGCCTAGGGATTTGAAAATAAGATCTGAAGATTTGAGGGTCGAGTTGATGTCCGATTTTGGTAAATTTTATATGTATAGACTCGTGGCGAGATAAGNTAGGGTTGAGTTGATGTCCGATTTTGGTAAATTTTATATGTATAGACTCGTGGAGAGATAAGGAATCCGTTGATGTTAATTTTTCTGAATTTTGAAAAGTGGGCCCGGGGCTCAGGTCTTGCCAAATTTCGGAATTTTGATGTTTTTCAGATATTTTCGATTGGGTATTGTTCCTACAACATAATGTGACATATTCGTTCTAATTTTGGATAGATTCGACGCACGAAGAGGCCAATTCGGGGGGCAAAGGCGTCGCGAATTAAAGAAATAGTCGGTTTGAGGTGAGTAATTGATGTAAATGATGTCCTGAGGGTTTGAAACCCCAAAATTTCACATCATAACGCTATATTGAGGTGACTTGCATGCCGGATAAGGGGCGTGGGGTAGAGCACCATTGGGGATTGTGACTTGGTCCGTCCCGAGAGATGTTTTTTTTATCGTATTTTCTACTTGAACTAAATTGAGAATCATCTTTACTTAGATTTGATTGTTACATTTGGGTTTCTTGCCAATTATTTGAATCCTTCAGGGATTGATATCATTGTTTTCGCATATTTTGCATATCATTTGATCTTAGTCCAAGGTTTTAAATACTGTTTTGCAAACTCAGCCATCTTTCTAAGATTTAAAAACTTAAATGATAATTCTAAATGATATTTCGGGCTGAGAACTATTGTTTTACGAATGCCCAAGGGGTTTATTATGATTTCTAGACTGAGTATGGATCGGGCTGCGCTCCGAAGCAGTGATTTGAAACAGTGGTAACAATGACACTGTATGATGTGACTTGAAACAGTGGTAACAATGGCACTGTGATATAAATTGGTCAGGTAACAATGACTGACCAGGACTTGATTGATGCCACGAGATGGCTTGTTATTGCGCTCGGGCTGTAGGAGCCCCTCCGGAGTCTGTACACACCCCCAGTGAACGCCGTCGACGATAAATAAATATAGATGGCTTGGGATGCACGCCGCAGTGGGTACCAGAGGGTACTGTCATATGCATTGCATTGCACTCATGCATTTATTCCTTATCTGCATTATCTGCCATAATAATTATGTGCTCTTATTTCATTGACTGGTTGCTTCATACTGTTCTGAGCCTGAGGGGCTGATACTGTTCTGAGATACTGAGCCCGAGGGGCAGATTTCTACTTATTATTTAGATACTGAGCCCGAGGGGCAGATTTCTAATTATTATTTTGATACTGAGCCCGAGGGGCAGATTTCTACTTGTCATTTTACTGCCAAATTACCTGTTTTACTGGTTTAAAAGAAATTTCACATGATATTTCACTGAATTGTTATTTTAAATGATTTCACTGCTTCTGTATAGAATGTTGTGTGCCTTAACGTGTTTTCTTACCTTCAGTCATTATTTATATTTATTACTCACTGGGTCGGAGTACTCACATTACTCTCTGCACCATGTGTGCAGGTACAGGTATTCCTGAGGCATAGAGCGAGTTTTCTGCTGTTCAGTTTTCATCGGAGTTATCGAGGTAGCTGCATGGCGTTCGCAGACCCGTTTTCTCCCTTATCTTCTGTTATTTATGATATCTTCAGACTTTGTTCCTAATTCCATACTTTGTAAAATAATAGTAAACTCTGTAGTAGCTCATGACTTGTGACACCCCGGTTAGGGCTGAGTTGGGTTGGATTTCCGTATTTTATCTATATTTTCCGCTACTGGATATTATTAAACCATGTTTATACTATAATTGTGTTAATTAATTGTCTTAAAAAGATGAATTGGGTTGAATGACTGGCCTTGTTTTCATGAGAGACGTCATCATGACCAGGTTCGGGAATTGGGTCGTGACAGATACATAAATAAGAAAATAGACGGGATGAAGCTTGAATTGCCTCATGTTGGTCGGAAATGACATTGCCAGAAAATATAAAAGCCACAACGGTGAAGTCATCAACGATAGAGATAAAACTTAACCATGGCCAGAATAATCACATCAATGGTAGTTGGTTGAACAACGAATTTTCATAAAAGATATTTGCTTAATTAATTAAATAAAAAATATTTAAAAGGATAAATTTATCAAATCATAATTTTAAAATTAAAAATAAATAACTTGAAAGAATTGTTACACAAAAATGTATATAAGAAGTATAATATCATAAACTACAAGGGGTGTTTAGCAATATGAAGCCAAACATAAAATAATGTCTCTGAAACTATCTCAAAAGTATAAATTAACTTCTAACATATGAATATAATGTTGCAGATGAATAATTCAAGTACTGTTATAAAGTGGTGTTGAGTAAAGATTAAAGTCAATTTATGTATCAATTTAGGGGATGCAACTTCAAACTAAACCGATAATCCCATACTTTTATCTGCGAAATTAATTCTGTCATTTTTTAGCCGTTTTTCCATTAGAAAGGCTTTTGAAGGCGAATATTTCAATGGATGAGTATCAACACGTTATACATCTCATATTAGATCCCTAGAAGAAAAAAACTACATTAATAAATGAACTTGAAAATGTTGATACAATCACATTTGGGGAAGAAGATAAATTTGCAACAATACGAAGGAAGAGGACAAAAAGAAACAATAAAGATCAACGTTCAATGACTAATAAAATATTAAAATCGAAAAAGATTAGTGGTCCTTTTTTTAACAATGAAATAAAGTATGAACTAATTTGATTTATGAAATTATATTTTGTCAAAAAAAATATTATTGTTTGTGTGTCAATTTAAATATCAAATTTAGCATTTTTGCTCATATAAAAGTAACTTAAGCTGGCATAGTACTCAAAATTTAATTTTTTACTCTTGCTTTCTAGATCCTGTGTGAAATAAGTGAATTTATCCATTTGATACATTCTTGATTGATTGAGACAAAACGATCCCCTTTCATCATTTTGATCCATAATTATTCTAATGCTTTTATTCTCTATTGATTTTCACAAATATTTAATCTTTCAATATTTTCATATAAAAATTATTATTCATTCAAAAAAGACGTCAACGTCATACATACTATAAGTATAATGAAATGATCAATTCTATGTTATTAATTTGTTTAGTTAGATGATTCATTATTTTCATAAATTTGGATATCAACTATTGATTTTAATAGTTTATTTGAAGCAAAGTGTTGCTCGATTAAACAAACACAATCAAGGCATGAACTTACACTAGGAATGTCATTTATAAGGAAGTATTAGGTTAGATGCATTTTATTGTATATATATATATATATATATATATATATGTACCTCATAAAAATAAAATGAGAAAAACAAATCACATTTATCTAATTAAGCTTCGATTATTCATCTTTGTAGGTTTGGATAGTAACCAATCATCTTGATCTCGACAAACAAGTCAGCCACATAACCTGTACTTTTTTTCATGTATATCTATTTAGCCTGTACAAAATATTGTATACCGTATGACTCGACATACACGTGCTCGAGAAACTAGTTTATTAAATAGCATAGGTTTATATAGTAAGTACCTTTTTGACAATATCCTTGATACTATTTCGCTAGCGATATCCTTTTTGATATGAGTACATGGAGTCGATTGTACTTATACGGCGACACTTATTTACGGACTCTTGCAATAAATAACGCTGAATATTAAGTTTCTTGACATTTTTAAACAAATGTCATAAAAATGAGACTGTTAATAAAGACTGTCATAAAATTTTGTGACTTTTGATTTAAATGTCACAATATTAGTCAGAGTTAAACGACTTTTATAATTAAGAGTTGGGATTTAACTACAAAAATAAAGAAATAAAGTAGTAGTAAATAGTAGAACTAAATTTCAATTTCGAGTTATCCCAACGCCGACCAGTCACCTTCTTCTCCGTCTGCCGAGATCCAAGCATGTGGAACGACAGATCGCCGCTCATCCCCCGACATCTGTTGGTAACCAATCTCGTCTTTGTCACCTTATTTTATCCAATCTCACGAGAAGCGAAACCCTAGAGGACCCTCAATTCTCTCCTCAAATGATTTACAAACTAAGGAGAAAGAATTGAGACCCAAATATGAAGCTAATCAGAAGTTTTCTTTTGCTCTTTGCACATTCTGGCTCTTAATCGATAAATCTGCCTTATTCTTTAGTTCAAGTGAAATAAATTTGGTATTATTGCAATAATTTATTTGTATAAAGTTATTACCACCATAAGTCTTCTATGAATAAAGGGGATTAGGATTTTTATTCTAAAGTTGAGCAATTTGTTCTTCATCAAGTTATTTTTGCTCTTTAGATTAGTGATTGTATATGTTTGAAATTCAAGTCATTATTTCTATAATACAAGACATGTCCATGAATATATATAATTGCAGTTGTAGATTAGTATACTTTGCTAGTTTGTAGCCCAGAAACTCCCGCTGTAAATTGGGTATTTACAACCTGCTTGAGAATCCCCAGTAAATATTAGTATTGTATTTTTGTAGCCTTTAAAATTCTACAAAAGCAGACATTGGATATTGGATTGCTATATCATAGTGGTTGTTATGGTAAGCCTTTCACCCTGTTACTTTTAGATGATTTTTTATACTATTAATATGTTGTTTAGTCATTCCTAATTTAAGAAGGAACTTAGTGTTGTTTCTTCTTGGTTATTGGTAGAGAATGCTTCAATTTACCTTTATTTACTGCTAGAATATTTTAATACTCTTTGAATCTAAACACAATATTATTTGCTATAGTGAAACTTGATTAATAAAGGTAGTGCAAAAACAGAGGAGATTGATTCAATTATGAGCTGTTTATTATATATATTAACCCAATTAAATTATGAGAATTTCACTTGGTTTGCTTGGGAATGGTTGAGTTCTTTTATTAGGAATAGTATGCTTTTGCTCTTGTATAGAGAAAACACGTCTAGGAGATTTTGGTATCATTGTCGTGGATCTTTTCTTTTCATGTATCCATGAACAGGTATGGATTGTTGCTTAGTGTTTAATGTGAGTTGTTATCTTCTTTACTGAAGGTTAAGAATTGAGCCCGTGACCGCCACTATGAGACATAGAATCCACTCTCCTCATGTGACTAAAGGTACTTTTCTTGTTATTAGTGCTAATCACATTTTTATTTGACGAGGGAGTTGCATGTAGTTCATTTCTTGTATCAAGTATAAAAATTATTTGCTAACTGTTAGAGACTATTTTACATCTTTACTTTTGACTTACTGCCAGAAACTTTTCTCTCATTTTCTTCATCATAGGTCATATGCAAAAATTAAGAGTATGTTTGGTGAAAAAGTGCCTCCATAGAGATTCCAGTTCCCTCTGTAGATGAAGGCTCACTATGACTAAGCAAAAAACCAATGTAGAGTCTGGTGAAGAGGGTATATAGATACCGGTTTCTGTTCTGCATGAAGGTTCACCAGAAGACCAGTAAAGAATGAGTGTTCTTGTAGTTGTCTGTCTGACATCTTGACTTGATTTTCAGATAGTGTTCTTTGTTTGTTTTGAAGATGTATTAAGGAACCTTTTATCATGTACTAGAACTATTATTGGATGGTGTGTATGAGACTTCAAAGCAGATATGTTAGTGCTTTGAATTTAAGTTTAATTTGTGTAGTATGACATTTGTAGAATCAAGTTGAATATGTGATTGTTGTATCATCTTAAAATTTATTTATTTTTTAATATACAAAAAGAAAAAGAAAAAACTAGGCCTACAAAAGGTTTCTTGTAGTGATACTACACTTTTGTATATTCTTCTGTAGGTTCTAAGCTGGTACCAGTGGGACCCAGGAGTCTCCTTAGGAGAATTTGCTTGAAAACTCAAGAAAGAGCTTGTAGTTAAGAGTATCTCTTTCAATTAAATTAACAAAGCATAAACTCTCTTAGCTAGTAATCACATAAGAAGATTTAGCTCACATAATGAGAACATCATATCAGAAACAAAAACTAGTAGAAAATGTATCTTGTAGTTAAGAGTGAAGGTATCTGGTTCATTCCACCTTATTCCTTGGTGATTACGGTTTAACAAATGTATATATGCAGACTAATTAATAAGGACTATATAACCCTCAAGGTCTTGGGCACAGCTAACAAGTGGAACAAGATCTTGAAGGACTGACAATTCCTAGCTCTCTATATATTTTTTTACAGCAAATATATAAAAATAAAATTAGGGAGTGAGTGACACTGTCTAAAGGGCCAAAAAAAGCTAGGATTTGTCAGTCCTTCATAAAATATTTTTTTAATTAGTTATCTATTTTTTGTCGAGCCGTGGAAACAGTCTCTTACAGAAATACAGGGTAAGGCTGCGTACGATAAACCCATGTGGTCCAGCCCTTCCCCGAACCCAACGCATAACGAAAGCTTAGTGCATCGGGCTGCCCTTTTTTAATCTATCTTTTGAGGCTTTATATCTGAGACACCCTTCCTAAAAGGCGGTCAAGAAATCTTTAGGTGTATTCAAGTTTTGTTTGTATTGTAATATTTCGCAATTTATTACCAAAAAAATAATCTTAGTGAAGAAACTATTTCTTACATATAAGTAGATTATTCATGACCTATTAGACCTTTTTATTAGTTCATATAAGAAAAAATATTTATTTTTTATAATTAATATTTATTTTCAAAATTTCAAAATATGTAATTATTATTTGTACGATCATACATGACACTAGAGTTATATTACTTTATGACGATGCAGTTTTTTAAATTTGCTATATTGTCTAATTATTGAAGTGTGATACTACAATCTTAGTAACTAGTGAAAAGAGACATTACCCACTATTGCTTTTAACCTTTTTCGTAAATATATTTAGCTGCTTTGGAGTGGCTGAAAACAAGAAGTTAAGTGATGATGTCCATCCCATTGATAAAAGTTTTTTTTGGTTTGACAGTTAACCTTGTTGATTTGGTTTGGTTTGATAGCCAACCTTGTTGAATTTCTTTGGTTTGGTAGCTAACTTTGTTGAATTGTGAAAAGTGTGTGTAAATTGTCAAATATGGTAGGCTTTAGAGAGTGAAGCTTTGGCTATAAAAGGAGAGCTTCAACTCTCATTTCCACATACCAACAAAGAGAGAAAGAAAGAGTGAGGTTTCACAGATAAGGTATAAGAAAATAGTTTGTGAGGAAATTAGAGAGTGAGCGATTTTGTAGTAAGATGAAAATATCAAAAGAGGGTTATTTCTTTTGAGTGTTGTAGTGGTCTTTGGAGTATTTTACTCGGATCTACAAAGTGTAAAATTCCTTGCTATAATGATATTAGTTGCTCGTTTCAGGGCCGTAGTTTTTCCCTTATTCAAAAGGGTTTTCCACGTAAAAATCTTGGTGTTGTTGTCACTCTTTTATTCTTGTTAATTATCGTATCTCGGTGCTACGTTATTATTCCACTTTTAATGCCATGAACATTATTTCTGTGGGGGTTTATTCCCAACAATGGTATCAGGGCATGGGTTCTGCTCGTACACTGAAATACTATTCACTGTCGGTAGTACTATACTCGGTGAAAAATAAAAATGTCCGGAGTAAATTACGAGGTAGCAAAATTCAACGGAGATAACGGTTTCTCAACATGGCAAAGAAGGATGAGGGATTTGCTCATCCAACAAGGATTACACAAGGTACTAGATGTTGATGCCAAAAAGCCTGATACCATGAAAGCTGAGGATTGGGCTGACTTGGATGAAAGAGCTGCTAGTGCAATCAGGTTGCACTTATCAGATGATGTGGTAAATAACATCATTGATGAAGACATTGCACGTGAAATTTGGACAAGGTTGGAAAGCCTATACATGTCCAAAACGTTGACAAATAAATTATACCTGAAGAAGCAATTATACGCCCTACATATGAGTGAAGGTACGAATTTTTTGTCACATTTAAATGTGTTTAACGGACTGATCACATAGCTTGCCAACCTCGGAGTGAAATCGAGGAAGAAGATAAAGCCATCTTGCTAGTGAACTCGTTGCCATCTCCATACGATAATTTGGCAACAACCATCCTGCACGGTAAGACTACTATTGAGTTGAAAGATGTCACATCGGCTCTTCTACTCAATGAGAAGACGAGAAAGAAGCCTGAAAATCAAGGTCAGACTCTCATCACAGAAGGTAGAGGCAGGAGTTATCAAAGGAGTTCGAGTAACTATGGTAGATCCGGAGCTCGTGGGAAGTCAAAGAACCGATTCAAATCAAGATCCAGAAATTGCTACAACTGTGATCAACCAAGTCACTTTAAAAGAGATTGCCCAAATCCAAGGAAGGGCAAAGGTGAAACCAGTGGTCAGAAGAATGACAACAACACAACGCCATGGTGCAAAATAATGATAATGTTGTCCTTTTTATAAATGAGGAAGAGGAATGCATGCACCTGTCAGGTCTAGAGTCGGAATGGGTGGCCGACACAGCGACATCTTACCATGCCACACCAGTAAGAGATCATTTTTGCAGATATGTAGCAGGTGATTTCGGTATAGTGAGAATGGGTAACACAAGTTACTCAAAAATTGCGGGGATTGGTGACATTTGTATCAAGACAAATGTCAGATGCACATTGGTTCTAAAGGATGTGCGGCATGTACCTAATTTGTGAATGAACTTGATCTCAGGAATTGCTTTAGACCGAGATGGATACGAGAACTATTTTGCAAATCAAAAGTGGAGACTCACTAAGGGATCATTGGTGATTGCAAAGGGAGTTGCTCGCGGCACGTTGTACAGGACAAATGCAAATATATGCCAAGGTAAATTGAACGCGGCACAAGATGAGATTTCTGCAGATTTGTGGCACAAAAGAATGAGTCATATGAGCAAAAAGGGATTGCAGATTCTTGCCAAGAAATCACTCATTTCTTATGCTAAAGGTACAACAGTAAAACCTTGTGACTACTGTTAATTTAGTAAGCAACATAAAGTCTCATTTCAGACGTCTAAAAGAAAATTGAATATACTTGATTTAGTATATTCTGATATTTGCGGCCCAATGGAAATTGAACTAATGGGCGGTAACAAATATTTTGTTACTTTTATTGATGATGCTTCACGAAAATTATGGGTTTATATTTTGAAAACCAAAGATCAGGTTTTTCAAGTTTTTCAGAAGTTTCATGCTCTAGTAGAAAGGGAGACGGGTCGAAAGCTAAAGCGTCTCCGAAGTGACTATGGAGGTGAGTACACTTCAAGGGAATTTGAAGAGTATTGTTCAAGTCATGGGATCATACATGAAAAGACAGTTCCTGCAACCCTACAGCACAATGGCGTAGCCGAGATGATGAACCGCACCATTGTGGAGAAGGTGAGAAGCCTGCTCAGAATGACTATATTGCCTAAGTCATTCTGGGGTGAAGCAGTTCAGACAGCCTGTTACTTAATCAATAGGAGTCCATCAGTTCCGTTGGCGTTTGACATCCCAAAGAGAGTTTGGACCAACAAGG